TTGGTTGCGTGCTGGTGATTGGCTGAGATAGGTATCACATGGTCTTTTCTTGCAAACGATTATACGTTCGCAGATGAGCCTTCAAATTGTCTTTAAATTTTGTGAAATTCAGTTGGCCTCGATAGATTGTTGGGATTGGCTTTTGTCACTTGTTATTTGTCTGTCCGTCCTTCCGTTGTTTTCTAATCTATACTTTTGAATTATATCTCTCTTTTAAAGGTTGAGTGCTCTCCCGTGGAATATGGAGGTGATACAAACACCAAGTACAACCTGCATGACCTGGCCAATGACCAACAGAACTGGGTGGTAAGGACAATCTTTTCCTTGCTCGATTCTTTGCTTCGTTCCTTTACACCCACCTCCCCTTTGTCCATTAACTTCTTTGTTACTTTCTTCCAGCCTCTCCTTCCTCCTTTCTTTTCTCCTTACCTCTCCCTCCAACCCTCCCTTTTTCCTCGCTGCTTCCTTCCTTCCCTCCCTCCCTCCCTTCCTTCCTTCCTTCCTTCCCTCCCTCCGTCCTTCCCTCCCTCCCTCCCTCCATTCCTCTCTCCATCCTTACTCCCTCACTCCCCCCGCTCCCTTTCCTTCCTCCCATTCGTTACTTCATTTGCTTTCTTCACTGGATTTCCCTCGAATACCTAAAGTAAGGCAACGCACTCTTATTTATCCCTGTATTTCAGGTGATGCCCCTGGATGGCGATTACAAAGGCTCTACCTTTTACATCAACATCTGCCGATCTCTTGTACCTGTCAGCGGTGTTAACTGTCCAGCAGGAGCTTCAGCTTGTATGAAAAGTAAAGATGGCAAGACTGTCCAGGTAAGCGATACCATGCTGGTCTTTTCTCTCTCTCTCTCTCTCTCTCTTCTTCTCTTTCTTATTTCCTTCCATCCTTTCCTTTGTTCCATCCACACATTCTCACACGCTTGCTTACTTGCTTGATTGCCTTCTTTTCTGCTTGCTTGCTTCCTTGCTTGCTTTCTCGCTCGCTTGCTTCCTTCCTTCCTTCCTTTCTTGGTTCGTTTGTTCCTTTTTTGCTTCTTTCCTTCTTTATCACTTTCCTGACTTCCTTCCCTCCGCTTTTTAGTATAACCGGTACTGAATACACCATATTTCAAACGTTTTGTTTTGTTTTCCCGTGTTGTAGAGCCTGGGACGAGCTGTCAGTCCACCAACCGTAAACAAGAACGGAAAGATTGTCATCAAGTATCAAAATGGCTCAAATCAGGCCCAGACAACCATTGAACTGACTTGTAATCGAGGATCTCTCGTGAGTGTTCCAAAGTCTTGTGTCCAATTCAAGTCAGGGCATGACTAACTCACAAATTGAACCCTGAAACAACCTCTGGGCTGATCTAAGTCAGGGCATGGCTCACTCACAGATTGAACCCTGAAACAACCTCTGGGCCGATCTAAGTCAGGGCATGGCT